ATCGTGTAATCATCATCTCCATGTCTACCCTTTCCCACCCCGTTAAGGTATTGGAGCGCGGAATGGTATCGTTTGACTATTGCATGCTATTACCCGTCCCATGCTATCAATCCCGGGGCATTAAGACTTTTAATCCTAAAAGGGGAAGAAAGGGATGGGGGCCTTTATGGAGTTTAAAGGACGAAAATTCTAATCGACATTCAAAAACAAGTAACAAGTAGGGGGAATGAACAGACAAACAGGTAAGGCTCACATAACCCCGTAAATCAGATAACATATAGTTTAGCATGCCTTTACACATACTGGTTTGGTCTTTAAAATTAAAAATTAAGCAGCGTGTGGACTGGTTCGATACATACATTTAGACAGAAAGCCCACATTAGGCAATTTGGATCCAATTGTCAGAACTTAAGGTATTTTAAGCGAGTGATTTAGAAAGTACTGGTTCTAGAAAAGTAGTCTAATGCCGGAAAGTACAGACTGCAGTCAGTTTAGAAATAAGTTTTAAGAGAATCATGAGTATAAACCATAAAAGGAGTTCCAAAGTCAGAAATACTTAAGGAAAGAGTAAACTGTAGAACTGTTTTAAAGACAATTTCAGGAAGACCGAAACTGAGTTGGAAAATGTTTAGGCAGAATTTAGAAAGAAACCATTTCAGAAGAGGTGCTGATTTGAAAAACTCAAATGTATACTGATTCAAAAGAGTTTTGTCAAAAGATTGAGGCTGAAAACATTAAGACATTAGAGACCAGTTAACAGATTGTTATTGCTTAAGAAGAATCGGACGAACTTGATGCGGAATCCTATGATATCTATATATGATTTTAAAAAGTCTGTTAAGAACTGGTAAGAAGAGGTAATTATTTAATTACCCTACAGTTTGCCTAATGCATATGCATTCCCTATAGGCATGATTTCTATATGCACTGATTACATGAACGTTAAGGTCCTATAGGAAGGATTTCTAGATGACTTATATCTTAATTAAACATTAAACCCTATAGGCATGGTATCTAGGTGACTTGAATCAGAAACATCGAACCATCTTACGTGCAGTATTTATAGTGAAAAAATTAAAGTCCTAAAGTCATGATATCTACCCCTTTATTGATGCAAGAAAGTAGAACCCCTCCCACACCCTTTTACTAGATTCCCCGAGTTCTATACAAGTTATTACAACACAATGAATCAACTGAAATAATAAAAATACATCAAAAACTAACAGCTAGATCCAAGCAGCCTAATTCAATCTTAATGTCCAATAATATGCATTTAACCAACTCCGGGGTCCAGATCTCCAAAGCCTTCTCATTATCCAGGGTGTTTCAAAGTTTCAAAGAACCTCAGGGATTCCAAGCATTGCTTACACCCAGGATGCCATTATGAACAGGATGGTGCAGTGGAATAGCCAGCCCTCAGGCATCCAAGTTCAGAGGGAGCTCAGGGGACCCAAAGCATGGCTTGCAAGAGAGGGGCAGAACTTATAGCTAGGAGTAAGTGCAAAGTGAAAGGGAATTAGGGGGCCATGACAGGTGGTGGTCATACCTAGCCATAAGGTAGGCTGGCACACCCCTGACCACTTGCTAGAT